AGGCTATGGTAACCAAAACATCATGGTAGTAGTACAAAAACAGACACATAGACCAATGGAACCGAATATAGAACTCAAAAATAAGACTGCACATCTACAGCCATGTGATCTTCAACAAAACTGACAAAAACAAGCAATGGTGAAAGGCTTCGCTGTTTAATAAATGGTCTGGGGAGAACTGGCTAGCCATATGCAGAAAATTGAAACTGGACACCTTCCTTACACCTTATACAAAAGTTAACCTAAGATGGATTAAAGACTTAAATGTAAAACCCAAGACTAGAAAAACCCTAGAAGAAAATCTAGGCAATACCATTCAGGACATTAACATGGACAAAGATTTCATGACAAAACGTTAAAAGCAATTTAACAAAAGCAAAAATTGACAAATGGGACCTAATTAGAATAAAGAGCTTCTGCATAGCAAAAGAAACTGTCATCAGAGTGAACAGACAAACTCAGAATGGGAGAAAATTTTTGCAATCTATCCATCAGACAAAGGTGTAGTACCCAGAATCTACAAGGAACCTCAACAAATTTACAAGAAAAAAATAACCCAATTTAAAAGTGGTCAAAGGATATGAACAGACACTACTGAAAAGAAGACATACATGCAGCCAACAAACATATGAATAAAGCTCAACATCCCTGATCATTAGAGAAATGCAAATCAAAACCACAATGAGATACCATCTCATGCCAGTCAGAATGGTAATTATTAAAAGGTCAAGAAACAACAGATGCTGGAAGGCTGTGGAGAAATAGGAACACTTTTACACTGTTGGTAGTTCAACCATTGTGGAAGACAGTGTGGTGATTCCTCAAACACCTAGAACCAGAATTAGCAGTTGATCCAGCAATCCCAATACTGGGTATAAGCCCAAAGGAATATAAATCATTATATTATAAAGATACATGCACACACATGCTCACTGCAATACTATTTACAATAGCAAAGATGTGGAATCAACCCAAATGTCTATCAATGACAGACTGGATACACCATGAAATACTATGCAACCATAAAAAGGAGTGAGATCATGTCTTTTGCAGTGACATGGAGGGAGCTGGAAGCTATTATCCTCAGTAAACTAACACAGAAACAGAAAACCAAACACTGTATTGTCTCACTTATGTGGGAGCTGAACAATGAGAACACATGGACACATGGTGGGGCAACAGCACACACTGGGCCCTGTCAGGGGGTTTCAGGGAAGGAGAGCATCAGAAAGAATAGCTGGGCTTAATACCTAGGTAATGGGTTGATTTGTGCAGCAAACCACCATGACACAAGTTTACCTGTATAACAAACTTGCACATCCTGCACATGTATCCTGGAACATAGGATAGGACAGGACAGGACAACCAATCTACAACTTACAGAACCATCAGATGGTTTACTACCCTTTCTTTCTTCTTTCCTTCCTTCCTTCCTTCCTTTTTCTCTTTCTCTTTCTCTCCTTTCTGCTGGGCTGTAATATTCTTCATGGCAGGGTATATTTTACTCTCAGTATCCCAAGTCCCTAATTGTTCCTGGTTCATAAAGTGCACTTAGTAAATATTTGTTGAATGGATATGTGTATCACTGATCGTCAGACTTGCTGTTTAATAAGAAAATGCCTATTACAAAGCACCATATTCAACAGATAAAATCTGTATAACTAAAAAGTAGAATTTTCTTCTCAGAAACTAACATATTTTTAAAAGACAGCTTTTGTAAGGTTATTTCCAATTCACACCTTAAAGTGCAGCTTATCACAAAAAATAAAAAATCTCATCTGAGACCCATAAAGCTGAATAAAAAGCAGAAGCAGCAATCTCTGTCATTCTGCCTAGTTAACACTGGTTGTGACAATGATTTATATATATATATATATATATATACACACACACACACACACACATATATACACACACACACACACACACACACACACACACACACATATATATATATATATTTGAATGACTAGGTCAAGACCTCAATGAAAATGAGTTACAAATTTATATTTCAATTGTAAGTGAATGGTGAATCACATATAATCCTTTTTAAGTGTTCACCCACAATTGGAATCGAAAATTCTATGTAGCACTAAATAATCTCCAAGGTTTGTTAAACTTTGAAAATTTTGTTATTTTGATTGACCATGAGAAGAAATGGCATATTAATTGTATAAGGAGCTTTATCTTTTTCTTAGGTGCCTGTGACACTCATTAGTCTTAGAATGAAAACCCTTTGGGGTTGTGCCTTTAAGTCAATTCATTGAACATGTCTGGAGCAGCCACTGGGATTGGAGTAAAAGTGCTAAATTTAATAAGTTGCAATGACCAGAAACTCACAATCTTCTGAAGGATACATGTAATCATTATAAAGTGGTTTAGAGATGCTAGCTTCTGTATCTCACATATTGAAGTCTGGAGGTAGGCATGCTAGGGTTTTTACAGCAGCTGTACATTGTCATCAGGGACTTGACTCTTTTTTTTCTTCTCATCTTTCTATACTTACTGCATGGGCTTGCATCTTCATAGTTCAAAAGTGGCTGCAGCACCTCCCAATCCCCAGTGTCAGCCCAGCTCCCTGCTGTAGCCATGTTCTAGGTAGAAAAAAGGTAGTTAGGTAAAAGCTTTTTTCTCTTAAGGCTTTATCTCTTTATCTTTTTATCTTTTTATTTGTAAGAGGAAGCCTGCCCCAGGGACTTCTTCCTACCCCTGATTGGCCAGAATTATATCATACGACCACTCCTACCCACTTAAAAAGGGGATTGTGGATAGCAGTTAGGACAGCCAAGCAGCAGCATTTGCAATTACTACTTTCTATTAACTCTTTGGGATATAGACTTTTATGTCACCAAGGAAAAGGCCAAGTTATTTATATACAAAGAGATAATACTCCAAGAAGTTCCTTCTTGTCATTAAATTATGCATTTATTTTATTTATTTTTTTTTTGAGACAGAGTTTCACTCTTGTTACCCAGGCTGGAGTGCAATGGCGCGATCTCGGCTCACCGCAACCTCCGCCTCCTGGGTTCAGGCAATTCTCCTGTCTCAGCTTCCTGAGTAGCTGGGATTACAGGCACGCGCCACCATGCCCAGCTAATGTTTTGTATTTTTAGTAGAGACGGGGTTTCACCATGTTGACCAGGATGGTCTCGATCTCTTGACCTTGTGATCCACCCGCCTCGACCTCCCAAAGTGCTGGGATTACAGGCTTGAGCCACCGCACCTGGCTATGCATTTATTTTTTTATGTCCATCTCCTACTTGGCTAAATTATGCATTTATTCAACAAATATTTATTTTTTGTTGGCTAATATGTATCAGATGCTGTTCGAGGTATTGGGGACAAAAACAGTAAACAAGAGAAAGTTGCTGCTGTCATAGAGCTTTATATTCCATTGAGAAGAGGAAGGCGATAAACAAATATAAATATATACATTTATATTTACATATTATATATGGTTATGAATATCCATATTATGGATGTACATGGGTATGTATATAGCTATGAAGAAAAGAAAAGTAGGGTAAGGGAAATAAAGAGTGATGGTAGATATTATTCCATATAGAGTGTTCAACAAAGTTCTCTCTGATGAAGTGATATTTGAAGAGAGACCTGAAAGAAGTGATGGATAGATGGAGAAATGAGGGACTATCTGGGCAAGAGTGGTTCTAGCAGAGGAAACACAAAGTACAAAGACCCTGAGGAGAGATGAATTTGGCATGATCAAGTAAAAGAAAGGAACCAGTATGACTAGAGCACAGTAAACAGAGGGAATGTTAGGAGGACAATGGGAGCCATAATATGTTGGGCCTTATAGGCTATGGCAGAGATTTTATTGTTAGGGATGTGGAAAGTCATTAGAGAGCTATGAGCAGAGATTAGCACAATTCAGTGATTCAGAGAATCGTTTTAACTGCTGTGTGTAGAATAAATTGAAGTATGACAAGGATAGAAGCAAAGAGACCAGTTAGGATGCTATTCAATTTTTCAGGAAATTAATGGTGGTTCCAACTATTATTATTATAATAGTCGGAAGTGATGAGTAGTACTGGAAGTGATGAGTAATGAGCAGTTGCAAGATATATTTCAAAGATAGTTTAAATATACATAAGAATCAAGGACCCTGCAAGGTTCTAGCTTAATAACTGGAAGAATGGAGTTGCTATTTACTGAAATAGAAACTGCAAGAGAATAAGACATTGTATGGGTGGAATTGGAGGATGGGGAATTTAAGAGTTTGTTTCTGGACATTTTAGGTTTGAGTTGCTGGTTACACATTCAAATGCATGTTGGATGATATAAAAATGTAGAATTAAGGGTAGAGGTTGAGATTGGAGATATAAAATTGGTAGTTTTAATGTATGCATTATTTGAATGCTTTGGGACTAAATATGGTCACCTGTGGAGTCAATAGCTAAATAATAATCTTTCTCCATGACGTTTTTCAGAGGACAGAACATTTCCTATAATATCCTAAATAAATTGATGTTTGGGGTCTTCATTTTACTAACTAGTGCATTAAGTATTCAGAGTTTAGGGTAGTGGTTGACGACATGAATTCTGAAGCCAAAACTACCTAGGATTGAATCTTAGCTCTTCTGTTACTAGCTCTGTGATTTAGAAAATGATACATAATTTCTCTAAGCCTCTCTCTTTTCTCATCTATAAATAAGGATAATTATGGTGCCTCACCATAAGGCTGTTGTGAGGATTAATTAGTTAATTTAGTACAGTGTCTTGGCACATAGGAAGCGCTCAAAAAAGATTAGTCAATGTCATCATTAAATTTCACTAAGTTTTGACACATGATATAACATTGATAACTTGATTTAGTGTTCAACCAGAGCAGGCTATATTTTGGAGGCAGGAGAAACAGTTTCTCACCTGCTAATGTTCGTTTGGGGACATTTAAAATTTGGAATTGTGATATTTATAAGTCATTGCCACTTTTTAATCAGTGTTACAGCATCATATTCTCAGTTAATTATCTTACTGTTTAGGTCACAGTGCTGTTGATATCACCAAGGTGGCTAGAAGACATCGCATGTCTCCTTTTCCTCTGACATCTATGGACAAAGCCTTTATCACAGTCCTGGAGATGACTCCGGTGCTTGGGACAGAAATCATCAATTACCGAGGTACTATTATGTTTGACCATTGCCCTTTCTTTTCTTCATTTTTTTTCCAAATAAGATTAATGTAACATTAATGCACAGTTTCCCTGAAAAAGAAAGATTATTAACCATTATCACAATTATCATCATTCTTTTGCTTCTTATTTAAGAAAATGGCTAAAGACCAGCCTTAACAGTATATTTAGTGAAATCCATAAAAAAACTGCCTTTTCATTTAAAAATGGAAGAAAATCAGCTGTGTTTCTGCTGTCTATCAAAATATCAATACTGCAGACTAAAGAAAGGGTTCTCACACTGAGTGGGGAAAATAGTTAACACTGAGTCTATCTGATGTATTTTCTGTCAGAAATGGGAGACAACTAATGTGTCTTGTAATCATCTTTTCTGTTTGGAAAACATGTATTTAAATGTAAAAATGTTAAGAAAAGAAATTAATTTATTCATGCACTACTAAGACAATAGAAAGGTAGCATTTCCCAGTATTTCGTTTTTTAACAACTTTCATTTCTAAAAATTCAGCATAGGAGTTGTATTTAGGCATCCAGTCCCAGAAGACCAGGCTAGTGAGGAGAACTTCCAGCCAATAAAGCTTGTGGTTTCTTCCCAACATCAAGAAAAGAAGTTACACTTAGTGCAATCTGAATAAAATATAGTTTCTTAATTTGTTATGTAGAAAGAAACAACACAACAGAATTAATTTTATAAATAAAAAACTTTATAGAACCATAAAACATTCAAACTACAGTGAACAGTAGAGAGCAAAAACACCCTAATTTTTCTGCAAGGAAACCCAAACTCAGAACAGCAGAAAAAGAATAGGATTAAGGTCTCAAGATTTACATTCTTCCTCTTACTACATAATTGTGCTATTCTTCCAGCATTAAATTATAAAAAATAATGGCAGCTAACATAATGGTGCCAGATTTTAGCTCTTTTGTTTGAGTTCCCACATAAACAAGAATTGTTTTTATACAGCTTGCCCTTATTCTACGTCTTAGGCTCACATTATTTTAGATATGCATATCGTTAGGCTTAAACCATTTGTTTTTGTTTTACTCCTCATTAAAGGAAAGATTAGAAAACTCACTAGAGGAGATTAGTCAGGAATTAACTATGTGATTTCAGAAAAATTTTAATGGAATTATTTTGTTTATTATTAAATGTACAATATTGAGATATTTATTGATATCAGCAGAAACCAATACATTTTCAGAAAATATGAATGTAAGCCTAAGTTATAAAAATTAATACTTTACCTATTATAAAAATAAATTAACCATCCCTGATTTTTCATAATTTCAGAGGAGCTCCCTTAACATCAGTCCTTAGAAAAATCTCACCATGTATAACAAGTCACATTTAAAAAGACATTCTAGTTTAAAAAAAAAAAAAAAATTTTGGAAATTGCCATTTCATTTTCCCTCTAGGAGAAAATGCCTTCAGATGTATTCTCTTTTCCTTTCATGTGCTTGTTTCCCCTTCATTTATTCATCAAATTAGTTGTCACTTGTAAGTGAGCAGATTCTTCATAGATGGTAACTTTTTGTCAAGTGTTTACACCTATGATGATGAAAAGTAATAATGAGGTTTGCATTGAACCTTTGAGTTGGATCAAACTCAATTTTTTATGTAAAAGGGTATTATAATTAGACACCTTATACCCTTTGATTTCGTGCTTAGAAAACATCATGTATAGAAACATAATTTACTTTGTTCAACAAATATTTATTAAACATCAACTAAATGTTAGATACTATGTTAAGTCCTGTATATGCAAAGATGAATAAAAATAAAACTCCTGCCCCGTGGATTTCATAGCCTAGTGCAGAAGAGATAGGCAAATTAATGTCGTACTTGTCTCCTTTAATTGGCTCCTTTACAGGCTTGCCTTCCTTTGTCAATTCCTTGAAAAGCTTTCTTTCAGTTTTTTTTCTTTGACTCTGTTCATATTTTGCCCACTGACTTAGATGGCCTCATGCAGGCTAGTAGTTTCAGATACCATCTATAAGGTGAATTTTAAATCTATACCATTGCCAGCGCTTGTCCAAGCTCCAAACTCATATCATATTTTTTTTTTTTTTGAGACGGAGTCTCGCTCTGTCACCAAGCTGGAGTGCAGTGGCATGATCTCGGCTCACTGCAACCTCCTCCTCCTGGGTTCAAGTGATTCTCTTGCCTCGGCCTCCTGAGTAGCTGGAACTACAGGCGCGTGCCACCATGCCCAACTATTTTTTGTATTTTTAGTAGAGACGGGGTTTTACCATGTTGGCCAGATGGTCTCTATCTCTTGACTTTGTGATCCACCCACCTCAGCCTTCCAAAGTGCTGGGATTATAGGCGTGAGCCGCCGCACCTGGCCCCAAACTCATATTCTAAATGTATTATGTATCTGCTGCTAGTAAATGTAACATAACAAATACTAAACTTACTTTCTCTACCTCTACAATACTTGTTTTTCTACATCCTCTTAAGTCTGTCCCTTGTTCTGCATTCCTTCTGTTATTGTTTTAGTTTAGATCTTTATTATTAACTTCCTGAACTGTTGTAACAGGCTGTCCTCCCCCTAGCTCAAATCTTCCCAATCCGTTCTCCAATTTGATGCCAAAGTAATCTGTTCAAATTTTCTAATTTCTTATTAACACTTCCTACATACAACTCTTCAGCAATTTTCCCATAACCTCAAGATAAAATTCAAACTCCTTGACATGTCATGAAAGGCCCTTTATAATCTGATTTCTTCTAATTTTTTTGTTTCTTACCTCCTTATCATCAGAACTTGCTTCTCCCTAAACCTAACATGACAATTCTTACTTCTTATTCTCTCTTACTCTAAGCCTTTTATATATGTCTTTTTTTTTTTTAAGAGATTAGGTCTCACTATGTTGCCCAGGCTGGGCTTGAACTCTTGGTCTCAAGCGATCCTCTTGCCTTGGCCTCCCAAAGTACTAGTATTACAGGTATAAGCCACTATGCCTAGCCCCTTTGCTTATATAGTTTTTGCTTAGAAAAACTTTATCTTACTTCTCTACATATTAACTACTGCTAATTACCACATATTCTTTAAGATCAAGCTTAAGATGCTTCTCTTTATAAAGTATTTTCTGATGTCTGCTTCTCCCTTTTCCCTTGCTGGTTTAAACATGTCCTTTCTTTGTGTTCCCATAGCACCTTGTTCATATGTTTTATGAGACAACTGACTGACATATTTGTTCATTGTTAATTTTAAATGCCCTAATAAATAACATGGACATAAAAAAAGCAGAGTGCTGTAAGTGTGAATCACTGTAAATTGAATTGTCATAAGTCAAATAAAGCCTAGAAAAAAGAATAGAAGTTCATTCTCACTATGCTTTAGAATATTTTCTTTGCCAATTACATTTGCATTTTACTGAGCAAACCCTTATAGTTGGTTTTGATTTCAGCTAGATGCACCTCTAAACTATTTAATTTCATTCATTAATCACTGAGTAGGAAAAAGTATTTGGGGGAAACCAAAAGGCCTTCACATTCTATGAAATTACAAATATTTTGCCTCTGCAAACACTTTAACACCTACAATTGCAGAAGCCCTTAGAGGAAAGCCAATGTTTAGTAACCAAAGTCTGGGACCAACTGAATCTAAGAATGTATATATGAAGCTGTGACATCTCTGAAATGACTTTTTGTATGTCTAAGAAGGTTCAAAAATAATCCCAGAAAACTAAGGACTTAACATGTAGATAAAATGCTGAAAGTGATTGTTGTGAAGGTCATAGACCTTAGGGAAATCTATGAAGGAATTTCAGAGTATATAGTACATGAAATACTTTGTATATAATAGTAAGAGGGTAACTTGAGATCAAATAGTCTCTCTTATTCAAAGACAAGGGAAATTAGAACCAAAGAGGTATAGTAAGAGAAATGGTTATGGTTACAATAACTAGAACCCAGGATCCTTAACTCCCAGTCTGGTATTCATTTCATTATAGCATACTGCATCTTAAATCAATGTAAAAATTATTCTTATAAAGCAAGTGCCTAGAAGTGTTTGCATATATAAGGTGTTTTCTATTTGTTTATCTATTTTGACTACAGACGAATTTTCTATTGTCTCCGATCTGTCTTTTAGCATATTACTATTTTCAGCCTATCTGCCAGCAAGGCTTTTAAGGAACAAGTATTCCACTGATAGGCATTCTTGGCATAACCATGGATGATAACATTTGTAAGACTACGATTTGTGATTCATTTTCTTTATTTGTAAAATGCATGATATGAATAAATTACAACTTCACACTTGGTACAGTACCAACTGCTATAAGGCAGATTAAAATATTCTGGCACCGTTCCCTGAAATTCCCAATCTTTTTCGGTATACAATGGAAAAACTAGATGTTTTTTTTTTAATAGAAAGGATTTTGCTCTCTTGGGAATTTCATTTTAGAATATAAGCTCTAAGCTTTTTTAAGATTATATGATTAAAGACTTCAGTGTCTCTGACCTAGGTTTTTTGTTTTTCCACTTTAGCAATTCTAGTCAAGAAACCTTTAAGCTTTGCTGTTGGAATTAAGTCTGGAACAGTGAAGTATCTCTTTTAGAATACTGCCCACAGCACAAAGGCACATGTTCCCATCTATGACTTCTAGCTAGTTAGCTGCCTGAACATAGGCAGTTATCTTAAGCTGAGATTTGCTGCCCTTTAGAAGAAATTCTGAAGCTCTTGATTCCAAGCAGTAGGAAGTCCTTACCAAGGTCAGACTGGGAGTTCATTAACTCTTCCTGATGGTTCAGGGGCTGTCAGAGAATAAGGAAAAAGGAAATAAGATATACTAGAAGGAACTTTGCCATCAAACACTCTTTGGCTCTTTTACTTGCTTTACTTTGTACTAGCCAAGTGACCCTGGGCAAGCTACTTAACCTTTCTGGGTCTTATCTCCCTCCTATGCAAAATGTAAATAATGTCTACCCAATATAGCGTTATTGTAGGATACTCTTATAGGATATAATATACATATAAGTAATTT